CCAGTCTCAAGTGCTTAGTTAAAGGTCATTCATCCAAAATGATTTGGATATTCTTTAACCCTTCTCAGTCTCTTTTGCTCTCTCCCAATACACTTTGAAGTCATCTGTAATATTTTCAGATGTATCTATGAGGAACAGATACACGAGATAACAGATAGTATGAGCTGGTGTTCATGAACTGACAGGTGGTCTTTTTCTGCTGAACTCACTAATGAGCTGGTCTTTACTCTAGAAGATCTTCATCGTTTGTTTGTTTTGTTGGCCAGGTCATCATTGCTAAGATAAAACACTCCCATTTTTTTCTTTATAGAAGGGAAACTTTTATACTAGTGATAATGGAGTGATCTGAACCCTGGGGTCTTGAAAGTAGGTCATTAAGTACTCAGTATAGGAAAAAAGTATGTGTTTTCCAGTGTTCCTGATTTTACTGGAGGGAATTGTCTTGTTTTCTAAATCTTGGCTTTAATATCAAAAGACTTCTACAAGCACAAAAAGAAATAAAAAATTGATCATTTGATTTCATCACAAAGAAAATAATTATATCTAAGAGTAACATATTTTGAATCAGGAATAACATTTTTCCATTGATTTTTTTTTTTTTTTTTTTTGAGCCATAAAGTGTCTGAAAATAACATTTTTCTGTCATTGGACAACATAGTTTTAAAAGTCAATAACAGAGCACATTGCCTCAAATTGGAAAATACAGAAACGACTGTGGCATTGTTTTTTGTTTCTGTTTGTCTGTTGGTTGATATTAAACAAATCAGATGTAGAGGATATAGCAACAGTACTGACCGGGCTTTGAGCTGTATAAGTGAAAGTTGCCAGGAGTCAGTTTGCCTGTGATACTTAACTGAGTACAGCCTTGCACTGCTCTGTCATGACCACTAAAGTGCTATTACAGGGTTTACCAGAACCTAGCAAGGTTCACCTGCTCCCTTCAGTCCCCTGCGATAGCTCATCTGTCCCAGAAAAGCACCAGCTGAGTTTGCTGTCTTCTGGGGTTCTAGCACTGTGAGCTTCCTGTCTTGTAATCTCTGTTCTCCCTCTCCCCAGCTGTATTGTAGGTGACTGGAACTGACAGCTGATTTGGGCAATGTATTTGGCTGATACTTGGTGTGTTCACCAAGTGCCCTGAGTACTGATATCCCTGATGTGCGTTGTAGAAGTAGCCACATGCTCTGCCATGTCGTGCAAGGTGCTGTACGTGTAGTTCAGGTACACATGAAACTGTGGCTGCTTATTGACAATGTGTATGATTAAATGTCAACAGCTTTTACATCCACGCCATGTTACCTTTCAAGGTAATTAATACAGACGCCATAAAACTCACCTACCTCTCATTCTCTCTCTTTTTTGGGCATATTGAAGCAAGGCTCATCAAGTAAGGGTTGCATCACCTACCTAAAATACAACTCTCATGTCATGGGTTTGCTTTTTTTTCCCAAATATCACTGTAATAATTACTGTAACAGAGACCTTTCTGTGAAGTTAATGTTCTTCTGGCTTAATGGCCCCTGGTTATTCTCAGGCCATCAACTTTTCCCAGCTGGTCATCAATCCCAAAGAACTGCCTTGTGCCTCCATTAGTATTGCTTAAGTAGATGACATTTCTGGTGCAACTGCTGCCTCCCAATGCGATGATATTATAGCCAATAGCTTTTTTCCCTCTTGCTTTCAATATTGTCAAAGCATTATAAACAGCTGGTATGAGAATGTTGTGGCTGTTAGCTGTGAATTCCTCTGACAATTTTTAGGTGTGAGTTTTGTAGACTTTGACTGAAAGAATCTGAGTGAGTTGACTGAAAATTACTTGCCCGGAGCAGCGGGCTCAGCCCCCATGCATCATTCAAGAAGTAGCTAGGCAGTACCTGAATGTTTCAGTCTAAACACTTTTTCCCAGGAGGAACAGTTTTCAAACAAGATCAGGGACAGATGTTTTGGGGGGTGTTAATGTTTATCATTAGCAAATGCTGACATCTCCCTTCCTAACCCCCTCCCCAAGTTTCCACAGCTCCACTGATGGTTACCCTTGTTTCCTAACAATTGATGGATTCTCTGGCAGGCTTTTAAAAGAAACAAGTAAGTTGTAGCTCAGTAGGCCAGAAACCAGCAGAGATTGTTTAGGTGAAAATGTCTTGCTATGTGGATATTCAAACCCATGTGAGTTAACATTGGTGCTGACTACATTTCCTTTAACCTCATTAGCACTTCATCTTGCTTTCCCAAGCATGATGGTGGAGCAGCTAGTTCACCTTAGAGCCTTTTGCTGGGTAATTCATCAAAGTGGCAGATGAAGGCTTAAAGGAAAATGCATGTAAATGCTGCATTAGGAACCTTGGCTCACAAAGGCATGAACATTTCTACCCATATCATTAGCTCTGGATGACAGTCCATATATGTGAAAGAAAAGGGACTTTGTTGCTTGGGGAAGATGGGAGATACAAAGCTTACTGGTTGCATCATTATGTGAATTACATAGTTTAGTTATTTTGTCTTTAATTAAGAAGTACTTCATCATTAGCTGTTCTCATAGAAAAAAGCTCAGACTGCAACTACTTACTACCTGCAAAATTAAAACCAAGTTACTGAAGTAAAATACCCACTTCAGTTACTAGCGGCAAAAGCGTCTTCAAAGAGGGGATTGAGATTATCTCAAATTTAGGTTATGTCTTCTTTTCAGCTTTAGAGTTTTAAGCTGTGCCTCACTGCACATTGATTTAGTCATTTGAGTTCCATTTACAGGTGGTTGATAGAAAGTGTAATATGTCACCATAACTTCCTCTCATTGCTAGTAAACCCACCAGGTTTGCACCTGGAGACATGCTAGCTATGTTTGTAACGGCATGAACAATGAGCTGCCATGGAGAGCCACGGGGTTTGATCTCACGATGCTGAGGCCCTCGTTGTCAGAGCGCTCTTCAGAGCCAAGGAATACTGGTCACCTCCTCGGTCTACTACAGAATCAGGCCGGTGCCACAATGCAGGAGACAACTGCTCTCAGCGTGTTGTGTGTCTGACTTGGAGCCTCTGGAATTAAGCAAGCCTGTTGCTTACCAGGAAGGTATGGTTAACGATGAAAATAAAATGCTGGTGGACATCTTAAGGGAAGAAGATCGGTAGATCAAAATGAGCATGAACTGAAATGGCCTTTGAAGGAACTACAGACCAATGAGCAACCACCCTTCAGTCTGTTTGCTTTTTTTTTTTATTTTTTTCCCCAAAGAAAGGGTAAGATACTCTGTATGTACTGCAATCTGATGTCACTGGTCTTAAATGCTGCAAGATACTGTTTCGTGGAGGGCCACCAAGGCACACATTCAAACAGTCTTTACCTCACAGTTTATTGTATTCCTGTTAAAAAGTAGCACTGTAGGGACACTGTTAACCCGCTGCCCTTTTTAGTTCTCATGCTGAGCAGCAGATACACTTATATACTCCTCTTACTGATACTTATATTGGTGGCATACTTCAGTAATACCATTTATCATGCATTTTCATTTTCCTGAAAGCTTGTTTTAGTCTCCTGATTCCATTAGGTCAGCCACTCACTGAACAGGCACCTCCTGTTCCATTTTACTGTGTAACTTTTATACATGACCTGACAAGCTAACTCACTGTCATGTAAAATACATGCAGACATTAATGACCAGCTCTGACTGTTGAACCACAGAGGCGGTATGCAAGGTTATGGCACCAACTTGCAAATAGCGGGGAAGGACTGGACCAAGGTCTAGCTCTCTTCCCTTAGCAAAATGTCCTGACCTCAAGGTTGAAAAGCTATTCACACCTGTGCTTATGAAGACTTATGATTGATTATTTCCTGCAAAAAATTGGAAGAGGAAGAATGAAAAATACTCCAATTATAGCTCATTTATGGCAAGTGGAAGTACAGTCCTGAGCAGCTGGGAACTGCATAGAAGCTGTTGTGGTGACTGTATATGAAGCAGCAGTGGAAAGGAAGATTTAAACAGTGGACTTCTTAACTCCACCACAGAACTTTAAGGGCTACACACCTATACCACATTTTTCCCATCTACAAAATATACAGGTAATGTGTCCCCAGTTATTTGGGAAGACTGCTGGGAGAGATTTATGTAAAGTCATCTGAGATTTTTGCTGTAAAATATGCCATGTACATGTAAAGTATAGTTGTCATGTAGTGAATGGGAGAATGTCTACAGCTAATTGTGAAGTATGTATGTCTTTGCAGCCTTTAAAAATGCACTGCAAGAGTTGTGCATTGGTAACCAGCTCTGGACACCTTCTGGGAAGTAAACAAGGTGACAGAATCGACGAGACAGAGTGTGTAATACGAATGAATGATGCACCTACTCGAGGTTATGGAAAAGATGTTGGAAACAAAACGAGCCTTCGAGTCATTGCACACTCCAGTATTCAGAGGATTTTGCGAAATCGCAATGAACTCTTAAATATGAGCCACGGTGCTGTGTTTATCTTCTGGGGTCCCAGCAGCTACATGAGGAGAGATGGCAAAGGCTTGGTGTATAATAACCTGCAGCTGATGAATCAGATACTGCCTCAGTTAAAAGCATATATGATTTCTCGCCACAAGATGCTTCAATTTGATGACCTTTTTAAACGGGAAACTGGAAAAGACAGGTGAGAACTTATGTGGTTACATTTGGGGGATGTCATACAGTAGTAAAATAATGTAGTTTATATATAGCAATTTAAGATCTGCTCAGAGGGACCATCATACCCATTAAATCCTCTGCCTCATGAGTTGTAATATGGTATGACATGCCAAATAACATCACTTGTACCATAAGTAAAAAATATGCATCAAAGTAATTTGTATGGAGTATTGCCTCATCAGTTTAGAATACCAGAATCTGGATGCACTGTTTATACAGCCAAGGAGGCAGGAGCTGTTTAAATCTCACTTTGGGGTAATATACCTGAAAGTTTTTTTACTGATTCTGAAAAATCAGAATGGATAGGTTATGTTTTCTTATAGAGGAAATGCCACCATTCAGTGAATTATAATAGCTGTTTATTGAATTTAAGCATTCTTGGAACATTGCAGCTGTAAAGCTTCTTGTAAAACAAATAAACATTAGTCATACATTAGGTGCTTCAGAACAGTTCATCTTATATTTCCAACTGGGAAAAGGAAAGTTATTATGATAGTTACATCTTTATGAGACTGTTTATGACTTGTAGGCTGATCTTCAAATCAAAATCGTAGTAGGTGACCCACTGCAGGACTTGAGCATTTTCACATACAGTTTGAAAATGGGCATTTAAACCAAAGACTTCCTAGCAAGAAATACATTTATTTTTAATGAACTCCTATTTTTTACTTATTAAATATACTGCTGTAAAAATGGAACAGGGTCCCTGCTTAGGTACAAATGAAGAAGTAGGTTTACTGTGTAGTAACTCACGGGGAGACGGTCTACCTTCACAAATACTATATATACAGACCAAACCTGGAGCTGGACTTGATCCTCTTGCGGATGAGGAGGATTCAAGAGCATGGAGTTTGTTTTCTGGGCTGTACAATGAAGGCAGAAACAGTGTTGGAGGAAACTGTTGTAGCCTCTTAGCTGATGGTGACTGTGTCTTTGCTTGGCATTTGCTGCCCTAGCCATACCCGAGATGGTTTGCCTGCAGAGCTCTGTTCAGTTACAGTGGATCGACCTACACAACTAAGTTCCTGCCTGACTCACACAAACACAAGAGCACACAGTAACTTGGCCAGTTTCTTACCATTAAAGGTCCTTTTTTCTTTGTCCTCGAATCAGTGCTCGTGAGTCTCTGCCAGAGACTCTGCCTCTGCCAGAACAAGGAAGGAAAACAAGGTAAGGTGCCCTACCAGTTCTGGTGCGTTACGGTCTTTTCTAAGTTTGTTAACCCAGAGTAGAGCGAAATGAGAATGTGAATTAAGCATTTGAACACTTCAAGAAAAGTGCAAAGGATTATCTGTATGTCCAGTATTTACAAAGGCATGGAAGTTAACAAAGCTGTAGGTGCACTGTAACACGGGCCACCAGTAGCCCGAAGGGTCAGAGCCCCAGAATGCACACTGCCCCTCCCTGCCTGGATTACTCCTTCAGTGTCAGACCACATGCAGTCCCCAGTTTTGAGGAACAGTTTACCTCCTCTGCTTCTGTCTGGCCAGTTCAGCTGTGGAGAGCCAGCATCCCATTCCTTTCCTGACACTTGCCGTGCAGATTCAGGCAAGCTGCTCTTTCTGGTTCTGCATCACCCATCCAGATGCAAGAGGCCTACAGCCCTGAATGTGATGAAAGCATTTATTTTTCAAGCTCGGTCTTGGTTCCTGAAATATTCTCAAGGCATTTGAGCCATTAATGACATTAGAACAAGTTTATAGTGAACTCAGTTATGGGCAGTGTGAATCAAGGGCACTTGGGTGCTAGCAAAATTTAGCCTCGTGGACAGGTCCTGTTGCTTTTAAGAAATTGCAGGCTCTGCTGTGTATGAACCACTCCTTTAGAGGGCACATACACCCTACTTGAAGGACTAAAAAAACTAAAATGGGAGATGAAAATAAATGAATAGGCAGCACAGAAAAAGAGGGAAGATGAAAAGAAACATGGGTAGGAAGGAATTTGTAAGGGAAGGAAATTTATGTAGCTGTGGGGGCAGGAATGGAACATTGTACAGCCCAGAATGTTGCTGTTCCCTGGGAGGTTTCTGCTGAGCTCTTGACATTAGTGCCTGCAAAAAACAAAGGAGGGAGAGAGAAGGCTGATTGCAAAGTTGCAATAAGCAAACCATTCATTTCTGACTTGAAAATGATGAGAAAAAATGTAATTGGATATATTGTGCTATTCAAAAAAAAGCTGATTTCGAAATGAAGGGAAACCTTCAGAAAACATTGCTAGTTAAATAGTATGGTGCATGACAAAGGCTGCAGAGCAATATACTTGGTATTATAAAGTAACTGCACTTGAAAGTAACTTTATAATTGAATAAGGGTGCATTAAGAAAATATGATTCAGAACCAATATTATAGTAATTAGATAAAGGAAGCATAAATGAAATAACTGCAGGAAGAGTATTTCCAAAGAGATTATAAATGAGATTTTGGTGGAGCAGAAAGGCCTTTAATTGTAATTTAGTGTGCACTACAGAATTATCAGCACAGTGTGTTGGTTCATCATAGGAAAGAATATCTGATAATTTCCCCTAATAAGCACATGACAGTTCTTCATATTCTTTCATTACAGTTGATTAGGTATAAAAACAGTATTCTTTTGTTGGACTCTTGTTCAGATCTTTTATGAAAAGGCAGGACACCATAGCCCTGTTTCTATACTGCTGTCCTACAGACGTGGTATTTAAAGAGGGCAGAGTGATACCCGAGTAAGTTTTTAAATCTTTATTTCATTGTTTAGCTTTTAAGCTACTTTATTTAAATTTTGTTTTCTCATATTATTTATGGAAAACACTAGATTATGATGTAAGTGTGTGTAAGCAAGAAGAAAACTAACCCCGCAGCCAACCTAGCTAGGCTGCCTGACCTGTGCAAAGCCCAGCCACTTTGGTTATGGCTAAATAGATACAATTGCACCATCAGTTTTGGAATGTGATGTCTTGGGCACCTACAACACTGGCCTTGTACGAGCCCCAAAGTACTCTTAGCCTGAACATGTTTCTGAATTACCTAGCGATTAATTGGCTCAGAAACTCTCAAGTGACAGGAAAGCAAGTATTTTAGGCTTTTCCTTATCCTTCCCTTTCCTAATAATTCTGAGCCAAGAATTATTATTTACTGTTTTGTATTTTGCAGTGCCTGAAGGCCTCTGCTGAGCTTATGACCCAGCCATGACATTGTGACAAATTGCACCCCCCCCCAAGCTTAAGTGCAAATTCAGAAAATAAATAAGGCCCCATAATTGGACCTAATGAGATGCTTACATCATGTTATTCTCCAAATGCTAGCTTAGCCTGAAAGCTTACGTGTCACAAGCAGTGAAAACATATGTTTCAGGAGTTCATACGTTACCAGGTGACCTATAAGGAACAGGACAAATTACCTGGGTTCCCCAGCATTCTTCAGGCATTTTTGGTTAAAGAATTCCCTTATGTTTAGAAGTGTCTTTTAACCAGCCAGCACTGATACCACCACTTTATTTTTTTCTTTTGAATAGTCTAAATCACTGAGGAAATGGGAAACCTTGGTACAAGGCATTCCTCAATCTGACAGTGCTCAAACCATCTCCCTCCTACTGCCCTGTAGGTAACCTGCTTGGAACCAACTTGTTCAGCATTAGCTTGGGAAGCTGCATGGCGAGCTCCTACCCGCTGAGTTACATATTAGTGGTTGCTGGCACTTGCTTGCAGGGGCTGTTGTGACTTCAGGTCCCTGCTTCCAGGACTGTTGTGCATTCCACTATCACTGGAAACACTGTGAAAGATGGCCTTGGAACTGGGGTCAGGACCTGGGATTCCCAGGTGGCTGTTCTTATGAGAACTTCATGTTCTCAGCTGTGCTTTCTGGGGAGAGGGGTGTCACAAAATTCTGCAGGTGTCAGGCAGATGGAGGTGTGGTGGAATGGGGTTAACGTAGGTTCCATCTGAGTACGATCTGACACAGCCCACAAGCCATCCCAGAGCCTGCACTTGCTCTCACAGTGCCTCAACGTCAGTAGGCGATGAAAGGGCAGCCGGTCACTGAGAGGCCGTCGTCAGGAATCAAAGGCCTTTTTGGGTCACAGATGACACAAGCTTGAACTCCCTTCCATGAGACGTTTCTAGCTGAGTGAGCAGCCATTAAGGGAGATCTGCTGTCTCCTTCTTAAACAGTATTTGAAAGGAGATCTTTGAGTCAACTTGTTTTCTCTGGAGCAAATAATGGACTTCATGTGTCTCCATTTCTAAGAGAGGCGCCTGACTTGGTCCTGTAGGGCCGCCCCTAAGTATGCCTTTACGACACATTTAAGACATGCTCCTCACTGGCAATTCACTGACCCTCCCGTTCCAAGACTTCCAGCTCTCCCCCGGTATACAGACAATGCAGGAACTTAACACAGGACTGGGACTTCCAGTGCTTGTACCAGGCAACCAGTAACCTTATAGTACCCAGCTCTTACACACTGACCAGCCATGACGAGCAAAAAGAGGAAACGTTACTATTGCCATTTTGCAGATAAGAATCTGTGATACATCAAAATTTAAGCACAGCTTGTAAATCTCTTACATCTGTGAACAGTTCCATGGAGATCTCTCCTATTTTGCCGTTGTGCTGCTTTTAAAGATTGCTCCCAGCTTGCAGAGGTGGCCAGGGAAGGAGCTGCCTTAGCAGGCTCCCTTGCAGCACTGCCACTCATATTCAGAAGTCGCAGCAGGCAGGGCTGGGACTTGGGGCAGGCAGAGGGGTAGCACCCAGGATGAAGGTTTCGCAGGCTGGCCAAGGGACAGGCAGAGCTGCAGCTAAGAGTTTCTTGCCGGCAGTCACAGTGAGTGGCTGGGAGCTTCTAGAAACCAAATCATGGATGGGGTGGGAGGAAAGATGACTTGAGGCCAACTCTCGCTCCAGCAGACAGGCTCCTCTGCACGCTGTGGGAGGCAGCATTTTAAGCAGCCCTCTTCATCCCCCGTGATGCGTCTTCCTGAGCACTTAGTGTGTAAGCTCCATTAGGTGATTATAGATGTGTACAGATTACTAGCAGAAGAATATAAATATAGGACATGAAGTTTCAGTCACTTGAAGTAAACTTACCAAAAGGTCAGCTAAATATTAACATTGCCGTGCTCAAAATTAATTACAGCAAGGGCAGTTTCTGCACAGATTAGTCCACTGACAGAAGACACTAGCAAAATCATTAAAAGATGAATGAGCAAAGTAGTCTTGGTTGCCCAATTTTCATAACCTTTCACAAGAATGAAAAAAATGCCCAGAAATTGCTTCAGATATCTCAAGAATTATTTGTCAGCCTAGAAACTTAATTATGTTTTTGCTTTCAGGAAGATATCCAACACCTGGCTTAGCACGGGCTGGTTCACAATGACTATTGCATTAGAGCTCTGTGACAGGATAAATGTTTATGGCATGGTGCCACCGGATTTCTGCAGGTAGGATTTATTTTGGAACCATTATTAGCCAACAAGGTTGAACGTTACGGATAAATATCTGAATCCTCCCATTTTTTTTTCCTCTGCAACATGTCTTCAGTTGTCTTAAAGCAATTAACATGTCCCCAGATCTGATTCTGAAAACAACAAACAGCTTTTAATTATGTTATATAAAATATTTTAAAATTTTGTTTGTAGTGTGGGAGAATTAATCCATCTTGTTGGTTTCTTTTAGTCTCTGAATATTTATCAGTTAAAAGTAATGCAGTAATCGACACGACATTAATATGGAAAAAGGACTACTAGGAAACATTACTTCTAATTTGTTTTTAAAGTTTGCCCCCAGTTAATAAACAAACGGGGTTCTCACAATGACTAGTTTCTAAATTGAACTTTCTACACAAATCAAATTAAGATTGTTGTGTATCTGCCACAGGAGTCCCAGTCTTCCAATAAACTAGCTTCCTAAATAATCCCCAGAATTTGGACGTGCAGAAGAGATGATCATTTTGGTCATGCAGTGTGCGGGCCACGAGTGGTAGAAGCAGCACCCAGGTTCTGTCAGTGCAAGCTATGTGTCCCCTTCACACTGTTGTATAAAGTAACAGCCTCTGGACGTTTTGTGGCTACGTTGTGCCTCCAGCCATATTCGGGACTCAGAGCCAAGGTGCTGGTTAAGGTTTCCCACTATGGATCAGTGATAGGAGGGAGACAGTCTTCAGGACTTCTGGTACTGGCCCAAACTCACATTAGCTACACGATGCAAAGCATTGATCCAGTATGAATTCATACAAATTAGTTTCACATCAACAATCCTTATGCTGATTTAAGTATCAGCTGTCCATCCATTACTAAACCTCACACTCTGGGCTTTCAGAAAAACGTAGTTACGTGCCCAGACCTACTCCTGCTCCCATCTGCAGCGTGAGGTGACCCAGCAGTGCACAGAGCTGCTACTGGCCGTCTGGCACCAGGGCGTCAGTGTAATGTTTCATCACCTGCCCATGAGTCCCTTTCACTAAGAAGTACTTGCTTAATTTTCAGTTGCAAATCTGAAGTCTGGTTTATTGACTTAATTCTAGATATCTTTCAGGGGCAAGGGGAGCAAGGCTGCAGTGACAGGTTAGTTCATCTATCAAAGAACAGGACTGCTTTGACTTTCTTCTGAGCACTGAAAAGGATCATTCAGGAATCTGCATTTGTAGAAATCCCTTAAGAAATTACAGTATAAAATGTCAACACTAAATTCCACTTTGTGAGAATTTCTGCAAATTATAACAAATCACTGATGATAAATGCTGTGATGTACTGCCAGATTTCATCATGAATTCTCCAAGGAAAATAACAAACTAGATCAGATATTCCAGACAACATAAATACCTTCCACAGTGCAGCATTTTAGTTCCCTTGTCATTTCAGTTGGCCAAGACACACTTCTTCAGTTTCTGTAAGTGGCTAGTCTGTCTTCATCCAGGAGTGGCTGTATTCCAGTGGTACATGGAATTCTTAAGTAAACTGATGATCTGAAAATGCAAAAGACGGCAATTCACTGCAAAGCAATGCTCAATCCTGACTTTTCAGGCAAAGTCAGATCAGTTTAGATACATATACTTGATTAAAAAAAACCCCAACAAACTCTTAAAGAGAGGCTAATATTGTCACTGAGACCAAATGAAAGGTTTTCACAGAATTGATACACTGAAATAAAATGAATATAGTATTAAATTACAACACAACAAAGGCTGTAATCAATCCTGCTGTTGATAGATGTAATAATGCTTACAGCTTGCCTAAAAAAATCTTAACATAAGAGTACGCTCACCTGGTTGTAAAAAGGCAAAAGGTCATTTCTTAATCAAAATAATATAAAGTGTCTTTACATCAGGTTTATTCCCCAGATGATGAAGGGAAAAACTGTAGTTGCCATGGCTGGAAGATACTATCCATGAAGAGCTATGAAAGGAACCTCTTGCCATAAATACGGTTAACCACTTTAGTGTGCTCTTCAGCCACTCATTCAGAAGTTAAACAGTGCTTCCTTTCAAAGAAATAAGACAACAAAAAAGAATAGCAGAAATAAATAAATATTCTATAATTTTACGCCATATTTCCTGGTTTTCAATCAGACAAAATACAAACCTACCATTGAAAAAAACCAAACCAAACCAAACAACCAACACCCCCCCCCCAAAAAAACAAAAAACAAAACAAAACTTAAACCCCAACAACAACAAACCCCACCCTATCTCTCATATGTGTGCAAGATGGAAAAGGTACTTCAGCTGCTGTGCAACTAAAGAATCATTAAGATTGAAAAAAAGTAATACTCTTATTTCTATTCAGAGTTAATATCGCCAAATTTACAACTTCAGCAGATAGATACCCATTATTTTTTAAGTATTAATTTGTGGAGTAAGTAATGAGTGTTGGTGATCAGAGTCATGGAACTAAATTAGTATCACATCTGTAACGTGAAGGACATCTCAAAGGTATTGTGAATATCATATTGTTGATTCTGCTACAGATTATTAGCCTAAGATCATTAACCAAATTGCTTCCCACCCGTGCAGAGAAAATAGTCTAGTGAAGGAGTCTGGAGTACAGACTGAAAGATTTGTCACTATTAATTGCAACAACGTGTTTTAGATTCATTTCTATTTACTTTCACTGGACATTGATTTTTATAGCTGAACTGGAATTGGTGACCCAATTATTACAAATTGTTGGTACTTTACAGCAAAGCTGTACATAATATCAAATCCCTTGCTACAGATCTGTGCTGGAGTAAGGGTTAATGGCTTTGATACTGCTCTCATGCTGTTAAATACATCTGACTTGCACATTCTAGAACAAGATGAAAGCTTGTGCTTCCACGCACATTGCAAAGATTTTGGAGAGCGTGTGCAGCTCTATTTTGTCACAAAAAGACAAGCCATTTTGCTGTATTTTTTCCAGTGCCCAGGGATCCACTCCCAGCCTTTGCTGTAGCACACGATCACCCCAGCTGGGAAGCATTTCCCCCTGCGGGCTCCCTTTGGCAGCCTCCTGAACTGGGACATCAAGGATTTCCCTCTCTCCTCTCCACCAGCAGCCAGACCGTGGTGCACACATCGAGAGCACAAGCCCAAAGGCACTGCAGTGCTGCTGCTTTGCTTTGTGGCTGCTCAGCATCGGTGGGAAACAGACAAGCCTTAATGCAGTCTGTAGTAACTCCAGTCCCTGCCCCTTGGTATCAGCAGCAGTGGGAGGTTGGTTCCTTGCAGGTATCTCTGGGTCCTCATGCACACAGGAAGAGCCAAGGTGTTAGTGAGAAGAGCCCTCTTCAAGCCCCCTCCCTCTTCATGGGCCTTCTGGAGCTCAGAGAAACTTAAAGCTTAATTCTGAGCCTTATTTTAACTCAAATAATTTTTGCTCCAATTATGGAGCCAGATCATTTTCCTATAAGAATCCTCATTTGACTGCCAGGCCATTTCCCATCTGTGATAATTTGCCTGAAAATTGGCATTTTAAATCCTTTAATTTATTCCTTTGGGTACAGCTTTTAAATCTAGTGGTTTTTCTACCTCCTTCTCTCCACTTTTCAATTGCTTTAAATCAAGTCCATAGAGAAGCAGTTGTTGCTAGTTACATTTCCTGGGGCTTATGAGGGGCTTGCTGGAAGAAGGGGTGCTCACAGATATCGTAAACTGTATGGGAGACAGATAGTCCTGCCCTTCGGTCCATATGCCTGAAGCTCGCCCCATTACCATAACAACTTAATAACAAAATGCATAAATGGTTTGGAAAACAGCGCTAGAAGGGAGGGCAAGCAAAGGGGATCCTGGGAATAGAAAGCAAGAAATCTTCATAGTCCTGGCACAGAACCTTGCCCGTCACTCAACATATTAATGACACTTTATTCACCCTTCAAAATATAAATTATTTTACAAAGCATGTGAGTACATACCGTTTTAGTGGGTTGATTTATAATGGCTCTTCATTTGTAAAGGAAGAGGTTGACCAGAATGTGAGATGGGATGGCCTTGTTTTTCTGCCTTGTTTCTTTTGAGGCAAACACTGCTGTATTTTCAGCTTTCACTGTGGGTGGATACCATCTGTAGGAAAATGTGCACTGAAGTGGCAAACAGTAGATGACTGACATTGGGTACAAGCACACAGTTGCTGTGCTGGCAGGCTATTACGCAGGAAGTACAGTATATTTTACAGAGGAACTTTCCTAGATTCCTCCCAGCTGTGATATTAATATGCATGCAAAGTCTGACAAAATACTGATTAATGTCCAGTATCAGTCAGTGATAAAACAGCATCTGTTTTAATGTTAATAAATGAGGTGGCAAGCAATTTCCGTACAGAAATTACTCATGCATTTCATTTGCTGGTGACACAAGCTAATTGCGGAGTTAGAAGATAACACAGTACAGTTAATTTGGGTTATGGTGTAGTTACTCAAGCCAGAGTTCAAATCCAAACCTTACTAGCATGCTATCTAGGGGAATCCAGAACTTGCAGCAAAGGAGAAGGTATCTAACTGCCTTTCACAGTTCCTAAATCCCAAATACCACATGTGGGATTTAGCCTCAAAGCTTCAGTCAGCTGCAGAGGAGTCTTGGAGAGGTCTAAAGCCACCAGCATTTTCCTTTGTGCATCGCGTTCACCTCCAGTTCAGGCAGCAGACCTGCACACGAGCCCGACAGCACCCCGTGGGGATGCCTGACCGCAGCTCCTCCGCCTCCCTCGCCTGCCAGGCCCCGTGCAGCTCCTGCTCCCGGGCCGACAGGACACTGCGCACAGTACAGTGACCCGGTACAGCCTGGAGCGAAGGGCATCCACCCAGGACACGCAGGGGTTAGCTTCAGAGCCTCTGATGCAATGTGGAATCCCTGTCTTCAGAAGGGAACTCCATTGCCAAAATATCCACTGGTAGAATACTGGCAACACAGGAGCTAAAGCACTTACGGGGAGGTACAGGCTTCAAAATGTGCCTTCAAAGAGGCAACAGAAGGGTGTAACCCTAGGGAAATAGTAAGTTATCAGAGTGAGAGAGAAGAAAAAGGACCACTGTGAAGCCTTCTCTTGCTCCTCTCTCCATCTGATCCACCTGGCCCCTGTACCTGTACACTTTGGGTTCTGTGTGGAGAAAAAAAAAAAATGACCAGCATTCCTATAGATCCTCCATGAGAAATCTGATTCCCTTTATCCCCAACATCCATTGCTCATCTCCGCATAAGGGAGCGGAACAGGGAAGAGACAGACAGCGATTAATTTCCTACTTTTTGCTCTTCCAGTTCACGTTCTACAAACCCAACTCAGGCCTTTATAAAAAAGGGGTGAGGTGGGGCAGTGGAGGGAGGATCCCAACCAAATCTACCCCGAGGTACCGGGGCCAGCAGCCTTGCAGGCTCACTTTGCAGTACCAGGCCCTCAGCAGTTAGTTAACTTCTTTCCACTGTGACTGGATTTGTTCAAAGTCTGTTGGAGATAGGATTTCAACTTGCCTCATCTTAACTTTAAAGCAGTAAATTTACACCAGGCAATATAGGTTTACCCTCAAGAACACAAGAGTAAAATCCAGCTTCAGTGCAGAAAGGAAGAACAGTCTAAATGAGAGGCAGAGGCCTATGTGTTTAGTAGTTCTTAAGAAAAAACAAATCACATTAAAATGTGTCCTCTTAGATTTACAGTAACCATGCAAATGATTAATTGAAGAGATTCTAATAAGAGGTCAATGTATCCAAAAAGCATGTGAAAAAATAATTGAAGATTGAGATCTAATAGTTGTAGCTTAAAAAAAAGCATTACATTTGTATACGAAGGGTATTTTTTTACCTTACAAATACGTTTTCTGTAGGTGAGGTATTAAAGGTTTTCTTTTTACTCTTATGCATTCCAGTGAGAATATATACAGTAAATTTAGAATCCATCATATGCTAGAAATGTAATTTTAGTGTTATTCTGGTCTTGCAAGATTGATCACCATGTTGTGTTACCAGGAAGCTAGACTGATTGAATTAAAGCGTTAATCTAAGGTACAAATGGAAAGCATCAGCAATCTCATACATTACTGCTGCATATATAATATGGATAATGGCAAAATAAGAAAAATTAAGAGAATTGCGTAGGTGACAGAATTACACAGTAAAAATAATGACCAGGACAGAATACTGACAGATTGTGGATGCATTCAATTGAAAGTGAGCTTAAATATTAGCTCTTCAAAATGAAAATAATCAACTCTGTATTGGAGTTGACAGCCTGGAATCTGCATGAGATTTCTTGCTCTGTACTAGGGTCCTGTTCAGCTCAGGCTTTAATACAGAGCGGTTCCAAGGCTTCACTAAATGGTAATATCTGGATTAACTTTTCTGCCACTACAAAACAGTTTGTGGGTAGCAACTGTGGAGATGGGTACAACTGGGTTATTCGGCCTGGGACAGCTCACTCTCTTTGAATTTATAACAGAGACGGCTGTACGAGCTCTTGTCAGCCCAAAATGCCTGTGCCCAAAGTAAAAACATATTAGATACAGTTTAATGTAAAGAATAAAACAACAGGAGAATGAATCACTTTGGCTGATGATAATACAAATGTGCCTTTTACAGGATGTAACATCAAAACATTGAGGCTAGAACTGCTAAAATGAACTTTCTCCTAAGTGTCTTGGGCATATCCTGTGTGTCATCGTGTGAGTACTCACCTCCTGCTGGCTAATGCCGATGGGCTCACAAGGGCAGAAGACACTGTGGGTGAATGGTTTGAATTTTTAGCTCAGATACATGAAAGTTAGCACTGTAAAATCAAAAAGAACTCATTTGTGCATCAGATGTTTGATTATAAACCCAGCAGAAGCAGACTGTATCACTGGCCCGGCGTGCAGATACATCCATTGAAGCTGTGCACTCAGAACCTCCTGCACCATGCTGGCAATGTTCAGCTGAGCTGATGTGACACAGATAACCACCTCCCCCCTTTCTTCCGCTTCCCTTTCTTCCCCCAGTTCAGTAAATACCTCTGCAAGGCTTTTTACAAATCACAATGTAGATATAAATCTCTTTTAAGCGGTTTGCTTCAAATTTCAGAGTAGTAACACAGCCCTGCAGCACTCTCCCTTGTTTCTGAGCTACTGCTGTCCTTTATTTAACCAGGAGGAGGGGATTAAAGGAGAGCAATAGAAAGAGCAAAGACAAGACCTTTGTCCCTTTCTGATGTATTAAATATGCAAGAAAAATACAGCTACCTAGAAATCTGGTTTTACTGGGAGAAAAAGTGGATTTGAGCCCATCAGTTTATTAAAGATAGCATCTTTTCAATCACTAAAAAAGAACAGCGCAGGCTTCCATCTATTTTCTTTCTTCTACAGGGATCCTAATCATCTCTCAGTACCATATCATTATTATGAACCTTTGGGACCTGATGAATGCACAATGTACATTTCACACGAGCGGGGACGAAAGGGCAGTCATCATCGTTTCATCACAGAGAAACGAGTGTTTGAGAACTGGGCACGGACCTTCAACATTCGCTTTTTCCAACCAGACTGGAAACCAGAACCACTCACTGTAAACCACCCCGAGATTAAACCAGTGGTCTGAGGGATGAGTGCACGAGGCCGCAATCACGGTCACCTGCTGGATCAGCCTTCAGGGTGTTGGACCTTCTGGGACAGCAAGGCAGCCGGGAGGAGAAGGGTAACAGGATTTGCAGCTGGTAACTGCGAGCGCAGTCCGGAGGTTACGATGAAGGTGCAGAGCATACTGAGCACCTTCTGTCCAGCCGTGTATTAATCCAGTGTATAGCCTCTTTTGGCCATCTGACTTCCTCTGTGTGTGTGTGATTTGTGAAAAACAACCTGAGTGTCATTAACAGATTGTTAATTCATTATGGTTTTTTAAAGTACAATGCCACTAAATTTTCATAGTGAACACTTGCAGTATTTATTTAATGGAGGTTTTTATGCAAACTAGGCCAGTATTTTTCTAGTTCACAGTTATGTGGTTGTTTATCTTTCAGAATCTTTCAAATCCAAAATTAATATTGCTGATGATTTGAAAGGCCTAGCTTTTATTTATAAAATTTGTTTGAAAAAATACAATTCTATATAGCATGTAATTAATATTTGATCTGGAAATGTTGCATTTCTTTTAAAAATTCGGGGTTCTGTTCCAGCCTAAAGCCTTTAACAGCAAGAACGGTCCCATGTGCAAATCTAACTTTACATTCTGACATGTTAATATGAAAACGGTAGTGAAAATTCTGTTTGATATTAATGTGCATTTGCTGCTGTGCTATCAAGCTGCTGTTTTTTAATTAGGGGTGGGAGGAAGGAGGGCAAAGTTTATCCAGAAAATCACTGGCTTTAGCAGTATGCTTTTCAGTGAAGAGACCAGGCTAAGGCTGGAGGGGTTGCGTTCTGCTTCGCCTCTTGCGGTCCTGCAAGAGGGTGAAGGAGCAACCCTCCCGAGGCAAGAGACTACACACCAGGCAACGACTGCTTGGAACAACATGACCAAATTTCTGAAATCAAGAAGTTAAATTACCAGGTACAACACCACCAGCCATACTAGCCAAAAAGATTACAACACTGCACCTGCAAAAATCTCTGCCTTCCACTGTTCCAAGATCATCACCGATCTCGGAGATCTGGGCCTGCACTGAAGCTGGGATGTGCAAGGAGTTCCACGAATACAAAACTGTCCCCTTGAAAAGAACAAAGTTACACTTGGCAGTTCTTTTGTGAAGTACATGCGCATGGCGAGTCCCGGTGAGCCAAGGGCACGGACAGTGCTGGTGCTGGGTATGGAACCTCACAGTGTCAGTTCATGGCTCACATTTGGCTTGTGAATAAAGAAGATTTCAGTTACACTATTATTTTTCCTTTTGCCTCACTAATATTAAATCTCTTATTTCTTGGAAATAATCAGTAGGAGTAGCTATTGCATGGAACATTATGCCTCAGCTGGCAACAGGTGTCTCTCAACAAAGACAATACCTTAAAATGTGTAAATGCAAGAAGCTGAACCTCAGAGGCGACACACAGACCTGGGACCAAACTCACCATCATTCAAACCCACTTATAACCCACAGTCTTCCTCTTTCCAAAACTGGACAGCAATAGCTGCAGCTGCCCTACAGCCACCCCGATTCTCTGGGGACAGAGGGAACTGCCCCGTGTCAGGGGCAGAACAGTGTTAGTCCTGTAACACTGCCTGGACCTCAAGAGCCACTCTCCTCGCTGCAGCCCTCCCCACTATCAAAGAGCAAGAAGCTATAACCTATTTTGCCTTAAAAGCTTTCTTCTGGTGCTCTTCCTGGTGCCCACCACTCGGCATACAAACTGAACGCAAAGCTCTACTGTTGCCAGTCGCTTGTAACCTGTCTCTTGTCAGCTGGTGTTTAACTCTCCCTCTTTCACTGATTGTGTTTTACTCCTTCCACTTGATTTCACAACATTCTACAAAAAACAGAATGAATTTTGAACTAATGGTAATTTGAACATCCCTTTCAGCATGTGTACTGGGGCGTGTATCCATCATATATCGCTCAAACTGATGAACTCTCTCAAATTGATTTACAGATCATTTCTAATGTGACTGCAAGAGATGGTTCAGATCACAGTAGGTCCTCTGATGCCACCATGCTTTTGTTATTTTATTAGTGATATAATAATAAAAAGATCTTGCCGTTCTAAAATAGAACTCTTTAGTTTTTCCATTAGTCAAGGGCTGCACGATGTGTATGCTAAATGTTTAGTTCTGTTATTGTTAAAACCAGATCATTTTAAAATAGATTACACTATTTTAGTATTCAGTAGAAACATGGGGACTTGCCAGACTCTGTTGTGCTCCACATGCTTGTTTCCTGTCTGCAAGACTCATCAATACCAAGTAGATCAGATAAAGCATTAAGAATGTGAAGAAGAAACATGGGATAAACTGATACAAAATCTCCTAATTTCTACCAGAGCAAATCTAAGGACTGTAAATATTCCTTCTTCAGGTTCTGTTAATAACAACTGTGTATTCCTGTTACCCTTACACACACGCACATTATTAAACAAAACAAACCCAAACCTCACTTTAGTCTCATCAGCCTCCTGTGAAGTTTCAGCAAGTTCCCCCATCTAATTACAGAAAGTACCAAGCAGTATTTTCTACGAGCAAGTCACACCGGCATACATAAACCTAACTGCAAAAGGAATTTGATGAAGCCAAGCAGACAGCAAGTTTTAAAAAGGACGGATCACCCAGATTTATATGGAATATAAATCCAGTCCAAAAAGCCCAAGGTATCAGAGTGCAAAAGAAATGTAAATATTTTTTAAAGTGCTGCAATTTTAATTTACAAATTACTGATATATTTTTCTATAAAAGCACAGGTTTTGAACCACAGTATATCCTGCTACATTTCAGCCTGAAGTAAGGTTTTATGGCTAAGTTATAAAACAAACAGATTAATGATAGAAAATGCTGTCAGGCCAGAGATAAGTAGTACAAACTAAGCACTGCTGCCATTCTCTGGTTTATGTTGTCATCTTACACTCTTCCCTGTAATTTGATCGATTCATGATCTTCAGGGCGCATCATTTCACATATTAAAAGCCGTTGCAAAACAGTGTTTACAGACATCAGCAATTTTAAGATCTATGTTACTTTAGCTCTGAACTCCTTGCGTGCCTTACGCTTTTTATGCTTGGCTTCATCAGAGTAGCTATTTTTCATCTCGAAGAACCATAGCTCTTAGGCTGTGATATGTGCAACTGAAATCGAGAATGATAAAGAGACTATCTCTGCAACTAAGAACAGAAAAATACAACTATTGCTTTCTGTTATTTTGGCACAATGGTTGCAAGATGCCCCGCTAACAGCATCACGACACAAAGCAGAAACACAACGGACTCTGAGAAAACCTTCCACCCAAAGCATTAAAGCACCTCAGAAAGACAAGTTTAACACGGGTTATTCCTGGTTAAGGAAACTGAGGGAAGGAGAGGTTAAACTTACTAAGACCAAGTCACAGCCTTAGGACTAGATTTTAGAGATACTCGGGTCTGCTGACAGCTACTCCTGGCTCTAGCCACTAGAACACACAATGGCAATTTCATTCATTATACATACATACACACGAACAGGAGTGTAAATTAATAAAATTCTGCAGGAGGTGCTTACCTGCTTCTTAACCTGCAGTACTTCTTGGTCAAACTTTATAGGAAATTAAGTGATTTTACCCAAAATAGCTCTAAGGAGGCAAGGACACAATAATCTAAAAATACCTGGAAAAACCCTAGGGGATGGAGTGAGGGAAATCTAAAGAGTAAAGAATAAAATGTGGTTTGTGCTATTCAGTGATGTTTCCCTGGAATATGAAGATCGAAGTCAGGCTGGAGCTGACAGGAGTGGAAAGCTGTGGCTCAGTGACAATGTGTGTCCTGCAGAAGTTTCTTTTCAATATTATACAAATCTATCACATGTGCCACAAAAATTCTTTGAAAAATTCTGATGATCACCTCTGACTAATGAAAGTTAATTATTTTATTTGATGCAAGCAGATGCAATTTCTAGTTCAATTAAAAACATAGCTTAGGGATAAAAAAACACAA